CTGATATCGCAGATGTATGTTTCTAATGATGTGAGAGATCGGAACAAAGAGCCGCCAATGCCGCAAGTCTCATCCTCCTCCCACTGACCAACAAAAACCCAAGACCCTCATCCACACCCATTGTCACGATTTGTCGACGCCTTAAAACCCTGCTGTGAAACCACCCAGTGAGTCCCCACCCCTTCATTCATCCATCTCGTTCCCCCAGTATCCAAATTAACCTGATCCCACCCCAAAACCCATCTCATCAAAACATGTCGGCAGGAACCACTACCCCATCTGGCTTGGTCCCTCGATTCCGAGCAAGGGTTACACAATCACCAGGTTGGTCAGACTTGTCCCACAAGATCCGGCCAAAAAAATGAGACCAGCTGATGATGAAACGATACCATTGCATGTTTCCAGCAGCAGCCTTGCAATCTTCAACGAGGCGCAGCACAACCGCTCGTCATCAGGCCAACCCATACCCGACCCAGGTACCGAGCCAATCAAAGCTACAGCCAAACTGATGATAAAAGCCAAACTGATGATAAATCCTAACTTGGAGGAAGAAGCCAGGACCATTGGAACGCCGGCGCAGCCCCAGCCCCTTAGTGAAGACAAAAGTGACCTAGCGAGCAACCCTGATCACCCACATGTCAACCAGACCTTGGCAGATGAGGACACAGACTCAGAGGGGGACCGACCATCTGACTTACCCCAGAATGTACCAAACCGCCCAATCGCAATCGACAGGGCCCCACAAGGCAACCAGATGATTGTGGCCCTTCAATCAACCCTTGCCCTTTCCGAAGCTGATCTGCAGCCAATTCACAACTGGCCGACCGTAAGTCATAGGCAACAGACATTAACCCGTGCATCACTGACAGGCGCGAATCATTAGCTTAACCAACAACAGAAAACATTTGCAATTGCAATGTACTTACAATCTATCAATCACCAAATCGACCAACTTGCCGCACAAGCGGGTCCCAATGCCGGCCCCATGGGCCACGTTTGGCACCAAGATTTCCGTGTAAGTGATCCCAATTGTCGCCTCTTGTGTTAGATACCCAAGATGATTGATAGCATCACAGGCCTTCATCCACACACACCTTTGGGAGAAACTTTTGCAATCTGACCTCATGAGTTACGGTCGAACCCACACCGTCAAGAATTGCTCACTCATCCCAAAAACCCCTCTCATCCTCGTGAAGGTAAGTGATGTATAGACCTTACCCCACTACAACAGACCCAAGAATACACTGATTCTAAACCCGCTTGAAAACCAAACAGGAGGAGATTGATGAGATGGATGACAATTGGAAGCGGGCCTATCTCCCGGCCGGGTACCTTGATGACCGACAGGATGACATCACCCTACTCAACAACCTCATCAGGGAGCTTCTCAAATATGAGAAGAGCACATTTGCCAAACTTGTAAGTACACATTTACCCCTCCCATCGGGCCAAACCAAGCATGACCAACAATAATAGACAACCCTCCAGATCATGAAAGGAGCAAGGCACGGTCGTTGAAGCTCCAAATCTGCAATGCCTACTCTTGATAACCTCGTCATAGAAGTAAGTCTCATTATCTCATCTCGCCCCTCACAACAAACCCAGATGACTGAGCATATTTGCATGCAGATATTGCAGGCTATGTCCCCGACGCATTCTATGATGCGCCGCCAGGACATAGTCAGGTCAATTCAGCCATCATTTAAGGTCCAAATTGGTTTTGTGCGACTGCACATGTACAAACAACGGCAGCAGGACCAAACTACTTCCCAGGTGCGATCTCCTTGGGAAGTGATCGACCGCCACCTGGAGATCCTTTGAGGCCAAACCTGAGACTACAAAGTCGCATGAGTCATACTCTCATCTGTCATCATCATTAGGACAGCACAATCTAACATTTGTCCAACATTTAAACAGGTTCGGGTGCCTTGTTTTGAGATACAACAGGCACCTATTCAATGGGACCAATACACTCACCGACATTGCCGCCATAGAGGTGTCCCTCCCCTCCGAAGAAGAGGTGCAAGCCGAGTTGGGAGTCGGAGCTCGGGCTCCATCCATAGACAAAATTCCCGCTGAGGGAGATCTCTTCTAAAGGCTCCAATAGATGTTGTAATATCAATTGATATCCCTCTCCAACCTGTTCCCCTACTTCCCCCTTCCAACCGTTACTGGTTCCTCTCCTTCTGATGACCCTGTGACCAACCGTTTCCAAATATTCTAGTCTTTGTCTCACCATCTTCTATTTCAACTTGTACTCTCTTTCCAATCACTCATGGCCACTGGATACGCAAGCTAGTAGGTGGCTACCCTGTGGGTAGCCACATTTTACATGCACATACCTCACAGAAGCCAGTACAGTGATCTTATCCACATCCGGGGGAGTAACCTCGGAAGCGAGGTGAATACCACACATTGGCTGATTTGCCGTGATGTTCACCCATTGCCCCACGTGAATGCCACCGAGCAGTGGACAGTCCCACCTCAGATGGGGCGGTTGACGTGTGCACCCCGAAAGCGCCTTGGTGAACCCACATATTGCCTCAGCGACTTGTGGAGGCCTGGGGACCATCACGGGCCGAACTCGTGAATTGTTCCGTGGAGGCCACGGGGAGGCCGGATCATGTGTGCAACCCATGAAGGCCTCGGCGAACCCACAAATTGCCTCAGCGACTTGTGGAGGCCTGGAGAGAATCACGGGATGCACCCGTGGGCCAATTGGTGGAGCCCACAGAATACTAAGGACTGTCAGATCTTGGTCCAACCTCCCGCGGGCGTGTAACCCCTTGTCTTGCGGTTTCACATACCTATCAAAACAATATCACACATTCTCAATTTCGACTCAACTCTTAACTCCATTGTCTCCCCCACCTTCCTAGCTCGGTAGAGATCCGTTAACCATCACTACTTAGCTAGGTAAGATAATCATTCCTCTTTTCTTTCTCTCTTCTTTGTTTCCTTTTATTCAACAGTTGTACTTACAAGAGATCCGTTAACCATCACTACTGAGCTAGCTCAATCTGAAATATAGCATTGTTGGTCCTAGAATCTCTCCCTCAGGCTATTGAGCCTGGTGATTATCAACGGTAGTGAAGCAATAAATCGTAGCGCTTACACTTTTTTTTTCTCGTACCATCAATCACCCAATAACTCGTTGCCCGTGGACTCGTTGATGTCTACCAGACGGACAACTTCAAGCAAAGACCTCTTTACTCCACTCTCTGACCCAGACGCTGCTTTTCACGTGGCAAACGCTGAAAAACGTCGCCTGAAAGCGGCTCGCTCTGAGGAAACGGCAGCTATAAACGTTCCTGCTGAAACTCGTGCTGAGAGCACAGCAAGCATAAAGGAACCTGCTGAGTTGCCACTGCACGCATCTCAACCCATCTCTCGGCCATCGATGCCCATCACAGCCAGCCTACCCAACCCCCCCACCGTCTTCCCTCCCCCCTCCCCCTTTCTAACGCTTTCAACGATGCAGACGGCATCGACTTCTGTCAGCTTGCTACTATTACAGAGTCAAGCTGACCTGAAATATTTCCATAAATAACTCAAGATTATAAGTAATAGATTTAATAATCTAATAATATTACAAAAATGAATGACATAAAATGTACTTTACAGAAACTAGTGACATATTAAAAGACATCATGACAGGAGATTGTGACATGAGATGGGCAGATTTCCCCTGTCAAAGCTCGTGGAAAATTATACATCATTTCAGATTCTCAGAGATGACTGGTGAACTCCATTTCCCTTTCCAGCATCCAGTATTGGTACCTACAGTATAAAAAGAACGAGTAAACCAGGTAACTAGAAATCATCAGTTTACCAGCTTAGTAATTTTCCCCATCCTTTTCCCGTTTGCCTCCTTTTCCAACCCTCATTCCACTACCCAGAGCACCACAGATCCACCCTGTAAGTGCCAGGATTTGTTGCTAGGGAATACCTTTATTGGTTATTCCTCTGTCCATCACTCCGATACGCGGACCAAATACCCTCGAGTATCTTCAAGACCCCGTAGTAGCCGCTACCAAGTCTTTATATGAGACCTAGGCTTGTATCCCCGAGGGCACCGTAAAAACCCCCAAAAGATCTGGGCTCCTCGGTATTTTCCTCTCTCATTTGCTTACCCAAACCACCCATCAGCCGACGTAGCTAGAAGGCCTATTGCCTTGGCATCGCCGAGCCTGACAACTTCCACCCCCACGGACCTCTCCAACCCCGGTCCCAAGCCACCGGGCAACGGACAAACAACCGGCAGTGTTGTCCTCGGCAACGGAGAAACAACCCGAGTCCAGGAAAGAACTACCGTCGGACCCGGCGAAAGACCCTTCGTCAACCCGGGAGTTGGTCCGACTTCTTCTGGCGACACAACAGGCCAGCCTTTCTCAAAGCCTAGCGGACCGAGAAGCTGCAGTGGCCGAGCGGATCGCGAACGCCGACCAAATAGCGCGACTAGAGGAGGCTCTCCTCCTCCTGTCAGTCAAACAAGAAGGTACCAAACCTCCTCCTCGTCCAACGGACGGCGGTGTTGATCTACAACGATTTCGAATTGCTGATGGTCCCGTTTATCAAGGACCGTTTCAAACAGTCGAGCCCTTCCTCAACTGGGTCCGATCCCTAGAGATTTTTTTTGAAACAAAGGGTGTCTCCCTTGATTCGGATAAAATCCGCATCGCAGGAGGCCTGGTTTGTGAAACAAACACCCTCTCCTTCTACGCCAACAATGCCGCGACCCACAGCCGTGGGTCATGGAAAGACTTCAAAACAAAACTTTTCGACTTCGCTCTCCCAGCCTTGTGGGATTCCAAACTTCGCGAACAGATTGTCAGGCTGGATATGGCCGACTCCAAATCCTTCTTGACCTACAGTACTCGGGCAAGGACACTGCAAAGTCTTGTGAATTTCAACCAAAAGATGGTATCCGACTTTGCGCTAGCTGAAGCAGTCACCTTTGGCATGACAGCTGCACTTAAAGCCAAAGTCCATGACTTTGAACTCCTCCTGGTATCACTGTTTGTTTACGGTGGGTTTGAGCGCCGAGCAACAGGCTTATTCGACAGCATACCCAAACGGTGTGGAACTTTTCAAGCTAAAGAAAAGAGCTTAGAGGGGAAAAGAACAACTACACAAGGGGAAATGTGAGTTGAAGACTTGGATGCTGATGAAGCTGCCCTCTTGTCAAGGCTTGGGAGAGAGTTACACTAAGAATTAAAGAAAAGGTGTGGCTATTTCTGTGGGTAATCTTAGTATGAGGTTTATTACTGATGTCTTGTACAAGTCACCTGCTGAGAGATTGAGGATGTGGGGGATTCTGGTAAGGATGAGGCTCTGGGGGGTAATGGTTTCTGTGTTCAATTTCTTATCTTCTGGGGGAAAATCAATAATAATTACTTCTGGTAACTACTAGTAAATGATGTCTGCTAAGTAATTATCTGTTTACTTCTCTAATGCAAGCATGGGGAACAAAGTAAGTGGGAAAGGGTATTCTCTATATACATGTGGGTGGTTCTGATCAGATACTAGTGGTAAGATATCAGCTGAAGTAAGAAGATGGTATGAAATAAGTTTTATCTGAAAGACAATTGGTTATGAAATAAATGTGGCTGACAAATGTGTAGTGTGAAATAAACATGTTGAAAAGGAGAAAATATGAAGTAACTTCTGTTTGTGATAAAAAATAATATGTAGTGCAAAAAGAAATGAGATAATCAAAGACTGAAATAAATATTCTGAGGTGAGATGAGAAATCTGTGTGGTGAAATATATATGTAGGTGATATAAGCCATGAGTAATGAGTTGAAATGAGATGTATGATGAGAATGTAGGTGATATAAGCCATGTGTATTGAGTTTGAAATGGAATGTAAGGATGAAATACTTGTAGTATGAAATAAATGTAGAATAAAATAAATGTAGAATGAAGTAATTTATGTATGAAAAGAAGTGGATGATGAGTGAGATGAGATGACAACATCTGGATGAGAAATCAGATGTATGGGATGAAACAGCATATGTAGTCTGAATAAGTGATATCTGAGATGAAATAAATAACATTTACTGAAAGATTATTATCATAGATAGAAGGTACTGAGGGAAGACTAATTTGTATCTTGAGATGTGTGATATGTAGTATGTTGTAGCTATGTAGTACTATATATTATGTAACCAAACTATGTAAAAAAATACTATTTTGTAACCTTCTGAACTGGGTACAAGATAATGGGTTATGTAGCATATTCATATCTGGTTGTAATAACATGAAAACTACTGTAAATAGCTATTTTGTACTATATATGACCTTGATTGGTCTCACCACAACCTCCCCCAACTTTATTTGTCTGTCCCCAGACAATACCTCTCTTAAATAAATATTTTGTACATTCTGTAACAATCATGTAAGAGGAAAAATTAGAAATGTGAAAATTAGAATTGTGACAGAGAAACAAAAAGGAAAAAAGCATGAGTCCAATTGGCCAGTCTTGATTTTCAGGTTTGCTTGAGAATTGATTTTCTTGAATCCCAAATCTTCAGGTCTTGAATTTTAAATTTGAGGTTGATGTTCAGTTGGATTCTTGAAAGTGGAGTTTCTGATAATGAAATTTCTCATAATTTAGTACCAAGGTAAATTTTCTCTATTTCTGTCTTAAATAATTTTAATCTGTTTTAGCCATCTGACTAAAAAAATCTACTCTGATTCTAGTCCTCTGACTAAAAAAATCTATTTAATTTTCTTATTTTTCTGTAATTTACCATTTAACTAAATTATGTAATTTCTTCTTTTCAATTTTCCCTTTCAAAGAATTCTTCTTCCAATGCTTCTCATGATTTAAACTTTTTCTTCTGAGTTTCTGATCTTCTTGTTAATCTTTTCTTTCCACATCTTGTAAATTTCTTACTAAACCTGCATGGTGTCATACTTTTGTTTAATTCTGCTTCTGATTTCTGTTGACTGTACATGTTGAAAGAAACTCTTATATGAATTCTTGGATGACTGAGCTTCAGCGACGAGAGGTTTCTGTACAGTTATCGGAATCGGAGTCGGAGTGTTAGATGTACTTTCTGAGAGGAGATCAAGATTGAACCAAATGAGCTGATCGCGTAGGTTCGATCAGAGTAAAATAAAAGAGAAACATCAATCGGATCTTGTTTAAGGACCTTGCCGAATCGGTCCGCTAATAGAATATGTAGAAAAAATTTCTTGTAGCATTTAATTACGATATCGGCAGCGAAATAAAGTGTGAACCTGAATGAAAATCAAATTGAAGAAGCGTCTAGAAGGAACCAGATACGAAGTTGCTTGAAGACCTCGTCAAGCCAAATCAAGTCGCGATCGATTTCAACGACTGATCGATGATTGAGACCGTTAAAACGTAAAGAAGATTTCGACAATGAAAACAATCTTGAATGGTAGGTTTTGAACGAGAATCAGGGGCATCGCTTGAAATAGAATCCAGCGCAGACATACTGAGACCAAAGGATCGAAGCGGAAACGGTTATCGATCGAACGTATCGGTTCGCTAGAGTTGACGGGTGGTTACTAGAAGGATCAAGCTATTGAAAAGAATTGATATTGGGTAGAAAACAACTCAAAAAAAAAAAAAATAACAATAACAATAAAATAGAATAAAACCGATTGAAATTGAAACTCTGATAACAGAAACGCAAAAAGGAACTATCAACGGCTTGGGTATCGGTCCGTATTGAGTAATCGAAGATGACAAGCGAGCGCATGAATTCAAGTCGGAGTAGAGAATGAGTTGTTGGTCCGCCTGGTAATATGTGTACTGAGTATGAGGGGAATAAAGGATTATCGATGATTAATCAAAAGAAAAGAAATGATCGTTGGCTTTCAAGGACATCAGCGAGCTCGGTCCGTAGAAGGAGTGTAATGCGATACTGAAATGACAGAAGTTTATCGTCGGCTTTTAAGGACATCAGCGAAAAAATCGGTCCGACTAGATGTACACTGAGACTGAAAACGAATGACTGGTATCGGCGGCTTTTAAGGACATCAGCGAGAAAAATCGGTCCAACTTAGAAGGAACGTAAGACTGAAAACGAGAGACGAATATCGGCGGCTTTTAAGGACTTCAGCGAAAAGAATTGGTCCAATTAGAAGGAGTGTGCAAGACTGAAAACGAAAGAAAAAATCTATCGTGGCTTTTAAGGACATCAGCGAAGTATCGGTCCATCTATTCAATATTCAATTATCAATTGTATCCTCTCAGAATCCAACACAGGTGGTGTTTTGCACCGATCAATCTTTTTTGCTTTGATCCATATGCTGTGGAAGATAATCTTCAAGGGAAACATCTGCCATGTTAAAAATGAAAAGTTATCGAAGTCGCTGATAGAATCCGGCCTCTGAAGGCGAGACCTTTTGAGGTTATTTTGCTGATGAATCAATTCAAATCCAATTTATTTATAGTTGAAGGTTCTTTCCGAAATGTTTCCACAACTATCTACTGAGAAAACAGCGATCAGGACCTCAAAGACGAAAGCGACTACTATCTGACTACTAGGAAGGCCACGATATTTCTTAATAACTTCGACATCGATTGTTTCCAGCCAAGAGCGGTTGTCCCAAGTCATGAGTAGCTTCAGAAGAAGCAATATTGATAGAACCGATATCACATTTGAAGCAGAGTCAATTTTACTGTCTTCAAATGGTTCACAAATTTCATCAAAGATATCTAAGCTTTGTTCTTCATTTCCATGATCGCCCGGGTCTCTCGCTCGTCGCCTATTCTCTTTAGGATCTGTGTAATCTCTTTTGTTCTGGACAAAAACTCTATTTACAGTGTTATGTTTGATTTCAGGAAAATGATCCAATAGTTCCGTTTTGATTTCATTCATTGTATAGATTTTGGGCTTGGAACTTTCATCCATTGAAGGAAGTACATATGATGAGAAATCAGGTTCTTGAGGTTCTGCTGGGTTGAAATTGACTAGATCTTCTTTGTTATACCAATTCACTTTATCAAAGTTGGATTGCTTGAAGTTGGCCATATAGTCTTGTCGTATTTGTTCACTGCAATTCTCTGGAATAATATCATTGGCGAAATGGAATACACAGAAACTAGACGGATTTTCTGCTGATATGTCATTTCCAAAGGGGTTTTCGGGCTGGAAAATGACAGACTCCTCCTCCAACTTGGCTGATGTCCCCATCAGCTGGGCAGAAAAAGAAAATAAGATATCTGACTCATCAATGTGAAAACAATTTCTGGCCACTGTACTGATAGGTGAGAATGTTGAATTGTTATCTTCTATAAAGGTGCTGGTGTTGTATTCTTCCTTCTGAGAAAAATCTTCAAGTCCATCAGAGTTTTCATCTTCATAGCTCAAAGCTACATTGAAGTCCTCCATCATTCTCTGAATTATCTTTTCTTCCAATCCGGTGAAATCTGTGGTTAACATTTCATCAGAAGAGGTCTTGCTAGCTGGTTGATCTTCAGAACGAAATTCTTGAGGCTCTGTTTCTTCAGTTATCTCTTCAGAGGGTTTGTTGGTCTGTTGAGTAAAGATGATTTCTGGTTCAGATGGTGGATTGAAACTCAGAACTACAGATGAGTTGTCCAAATCTTCGGTTTCTAGCTTGTTGTCTTCTTCATAAGAGTCTAAAGATGGTACGTAAATTTCTTCAAGTTGTCCAAAAGAGGAGGAGAATTCTATTTCTGTCATAGCAGTCTTCTTGGAGTCTTCTGAAAACTGATCAACTATTTCTTTGATAGGTCTACTAGTATCCCAGGCAATTGGTGTATCATTAGGTAAAAGATAACTTCTGCCTTCTTTCTTTACTAAGCCTTTGGATTCATCAAAAGAAAATAAATTACATCTGTTGGAACTATGGTTGGGCTGGAAGCAATAATAACATCTGAAGTTTGGATTTCTGTTGGGAACTGAAGTTGGGGGGTTGGCCTGCTGAGAGACTGAATCCAAGGGCTTGTGAGGAGGAGCCATGTTTCCAGAGGTTAGAGCAGCTAGTTGTTTGGTAAGATCTTGAAGCTGTTTATCATACGAATTTTGGGCAGGAGTACTAGGAGTGGTAATTCTTGGTGCCGGTTTGGTCTGAGATGCTGGTAATTTTTCTTGATTCTTTTCTGGACTCCAAAGATTTTGTCGTTCCATTACACTGTCTGA